AGTTAAAAAAAATAATAAAATAATAAAAAAAAATTGCCTTCCCTGTAAAAAATCACTAGGTGAGTTTCTGTTGCAAATTTGCGCAAATATTTTATGATATTTTGTAAGTGTCAATAAAAATAACTATTGCGAAATGACGTTTCCAGTGTTATGCAAATAAAATTCGCCCTTTTATGATTTAGGCAATCCAAAAATAATAACGGAAGAGTGCGGTCTGTGCTGTTAGTAACAGGCAATTGCACTTATCAGCCACAAAGGGGAGTTGCGAGAGAAATTAGCATAGTGTTGCTTTATTAGTAGTATTTAATCTAAACTATTAGTTTAGTTAAAACAAAAACTTGCCTTCCCACTAACAAATCACTAGGCGAGTTTTCTAAAGTTGTTTTGGGATATTATCTAAGTGTGAATAATAATAATAATTAAAAAAAGAATGCGAAATGACAACCAATGTTATACATATAAAAATACAGGCAACTGCTTTTATCAACCACAAGGGGGAGTTGGAGAGAACGTTGCATAGTGTTGCTTAAAAGAAATTTGTCTATCCGTTAATAAATCACTAGGTGAGTTTCTGTTAATTCACTACTTATTTTTTATTGATTGCACGTCATAATAATATAAAAATATATAAATACACGGTATATACATTTTTGCAAAATATTGTCTTTTTATGAAATTAATACTTTCCATTAGACTACATCATTTCAATTTGCGCATGTTGAAGCATAACAGAAACACAACCACTGTCACTGAATCAACTACCTGCAGCCTGAACATTCGGCTAAACATCTCTCATTTTGTGTCCCACAACAGAACAAACATCATAAAGGCTTGGACTGACATTTCCCTCAAGCTGACAGCATCTTATTGGCGCATCTGTCAAGAGAAAGCCTGAAGGAAAGACTCGTCACATGATGATCTGTTAAAGTCAGTGACGCACACACACAAACAAAACCTTTGTTCAAATACCAGCAAACATCAGTCACACTCTATTTAAACCCACTGGGAAGCAGCAGGTTCATTACTTCTAATGAACATAATTATACTGGTTGGAAATCGCATTTGGCCGCCTCGCAGCTCTTTTAACTTGTAGATTTGATCATAAAATCAATAGATGAATCGCTCGCGTGAAATGAAGTACAGTTCTGTGAACCAGCAACAGTCGGCAGGCTCTATAGGGACTTTTTATTTTTAAATGTTTCTAGTACAGATTAAAGTACAACAGGCCAGCAACACTAACATAATCCCAGTGTTTCCTTCTGCTTCCCTGTCCTTGATCCCTGTGGATGGAAGCGAACCACCTGGAGGTGAACACACACACACATACACTCACGCACACACAATCGATAGCCAATCAGATCATCAGTGTTTTGTGTTCTTCAGTAATTACCTGTGCTGTTCCCCCCGCAGCTCTTTGATAAAGCACTTGTTTGTGTTTGTGTGTGATTTGTGTGATTGAGGTAATTTCCTTCCTTCCAGCGGCAACACCTTTCACTCATTTATTTCTGTCTTTCATCAGAGGATGTGCCGAATCTGGTGGATCACGTACTGAATCCGGGTAGCATCTGCGAAATGGGAGGGTTATGAATATGTAATGACATGCAGATTCATGCTGATATGTTAAATGAGAGCATTCTGTTTCGTTCAAAGTCTATGGACGCATATTTCCTGACAGCTTTGGCTTTTACATCTTCATTTAATCTTCTTGTTATTCTTTGTTCTATTGTTGCAGTGTTAATTATTAAGGGTAGACTAGTTAGACTTAAATGTTTAACTTGACATCAGTTATTTGCTTGCATCTTTCTCAGATGTCGAACTGACAACGATGATGCATATTACTGGAGTTTATAATTTATACACCCACACACTACCTGACAAAAGTCTTGTCGCCTATCCATATTGTAGGAACAATAAAAAACTTGACTTCTAGTTGATCATTTGGTGTCAGAAGTGGCTTATTTGAATGGCAAAGGCCTCTAGATAACGCTTATTTTACCAAAATAAAATATGATTATGCCTTGATTTGTAATTATTTGATTAGGACAGTAACGTCTGACTTTGCTTAGACAAAAGTCTTGTCACTTAATAGAAATAATGTCTAGTATAGAATATAAAGTCATGCTGCAGTGGAAAAAGAGTTAATATTGTGTCTGACTCCATCATGAGCTTGGAGGACTGCATCTATAAATCTCTGCAATGTCTCAAATCACTTATTAATAAAGTCATGCAGGACTCCCAGAGTTCATCAAGATTCTTTGGATTCCTCCTTCATCATACCCCAGAGCTGCTCAATAATGTGCATATCTGGTGACTGGGCTGGCCAATCCTGGATCACCTTGACCTTCTTTGCTGTCAGGATCTTTGATGTGGAGGCTGAAGTATGATCAGGGGCACTATCCTGCTGAAGAGTTTGCCCTCTCCTGTGGTTTGTAATGTAATGGGCTTCACAATTGTCTTGATACCTCAGGCTGTTGATGTTGCCATCCACTCTGCAGATCTCTTTCACATACTGAATGTAACCCCAAACCATGATTTTTCCTTCACCAAACTTGACTGATTTCTATGAGCATCTTGTGTCCATGAGGGTTCCAGTAGGTCTTCTGCAGTATTAGTGATGATTGGGATGCAGTTCAACAGATGATTCATCTGAAAAATCGACCTTCTGCCACTTTTCCAAATGATCAACTAGAAATTGAGTTATTATTTCTTGCTTTCACAACTGGGATCAAGACAAGACTTTTGACAACTATAGCACATGTCTTTGGACTGTGGGGGAAACCGGAGCACCCGGAGGAAACCCACTCGAACACAGGGTGAAGATGCAAACTCCGCACAGAAATGCCAACTGACCCAGCTGAGGCTGGAAACAGCGACCATCTTGCTGTGTGGCGACAGTGCGACCCACTGTGCCACCATGCGCCAGATTTCTAATCATAATAGTTTTAATAACTCATTTCTAATGACTGATTTATTTTATCTTTGCCATAATGACAGTGAATAATATTTTAGATATTTTTCAAGACATTTCTATGAAGCTTAAAGGGACAATTAAAGCCCTAACTAGGTTAACTAGGCAGGTTAGGGTAATTAGGCAAGTTATTGTATAATGATGGTTTGTTCTGTAGACAGTCGAAAAAAAAATAGCTTAAAGAGGCTAACAATTTTGACCTTAAAATGTTTTTTAAAAAATTCGAAACTGCTTTTATTCTAGCCGAATAAAAACAAATAAGACTTTCTCCACAAGAAAATAATAAAAATATTATCAGAGATACTGTGAAAATTGTCTTTTTCTGTTAAACATCATTTGGAAAATATTTTAAAAAGAAAAACGAATTCAAGACTAAGCCGACAAGAAAATGAATGACAAACTAATTCAAATGGGGGGGCTAATAATTCAGATTTTAACTGTAAAAATAAATAAAAAATTAAACAATATTAACATGTAGAAGTAATAGTATCAATAAATTATATAATAATGTAAAACAAGATTTAAAAAGTATTTTAAAAAAAAACTAAATTATATAGTAAAAAACGAGCATTAACCTGATTTAAAAATTTCTGACTGCTGATTTAAATAGGAAACAAATTGAGGTCATTCGAACTATAAATTCTATTTTGTTGTTGTTGAATTGACAATCAGAATTTGCTGGTCAATTCTACAAATAATTACAAAGTTGCAGCAAGAACAACCTTAGTTTTTAAGTAGAAAAAGCTGAAATAGTATTTTTACTTCATATTGTTTTGTAAATGTATCTTTAGCACTTTATTTTGATGGTCCATTTGAGTATTAGTAGACTGTCTGGCTAATATCTGCTGATACTGCTCCTTCAACAGACAATTAACTGACTACAAGAAACTTTGCAAGTACATGTGAACTTACACTAACTCTAACCTAACAGTCTACTTATAATCTAATGAGAATGAGTTGGCATGTAGATGCAATATAACTTAAATTCAACAAACAGACCATCAAAATAAAGTGTGACCTTTTTTTAATAGTTCTTTTTTATATAATACACAGTAAATGGCAAAATAAGCAGTGCTAGTGTTTATTTCGAAGCACAATTATTCCAAAGTTACTGTATTTGACAGAAAATATATAGTAAAAAAAACAAAAAATATAATATTATAATATTTTATTATTATTTATATATTAAATCATATATATAAATATAATACATGTTATATATATATATATATATATATATATATATATATATATATATATATATATATATATATATATATATATATATATATATATATATATATATATATATATAAATATATATATATA